GGTCGCGAGCGCCTCGGACTCCCTGTTGAGAGCCTCCACGCCGACCAGATCAGCCCCCGCCCCGGGGTCGACCAGGCCCTGGGTCGACGAGGCCGCCAGGAAGATCGACCCTGACGCGATCTCCTCCTCGATCCCGCGCCACGCCGGCGCTGCCCACATGTCGTCACTGCCGAACGCCACTCCGTCGAACATGTAGGACGAGGCCTTCCTGATGGGAGTCTTCTTGACGGAGACCTCCCGCTTGACAGCGTCCTTCTTGGTGCTGCTGACGTTGGGGCACTCACGCCCCCAATGGCCCTTCTCGTGGCACAGCTTGCACTTGGTGACCTTCATCAGCTGCTCCTGAGTGAGGAAGCGTCGCCTGCCCTGAGGAGGCCGGTGTCCTGCTCCTCCCGCTCCGCCTCCACGCTCGTCACGTTCTCGTCGCTGGCGACCTCCTCCTCGCCCGGCTGGCCGAGAAGGATGGGAGGTCCTGTCACTGCCTCGACCTCGGGAGCCGAAATATTCTCGATCGCGCCGAGCTGCGCGCTTGAGGTCCTTGTTCTGCTTCCAGGACCTGTTGTTCGTCAGCTCGGCCAGCACCAGCTCGGCGTCGTCCTCCTCGATGTCCATGTCATCGATCTCCGCGAAGAGGGCCGCCACGTCCTCTTCCTCGAGCTCGTCCGACTCGTCGGCTCCCTCGTCGTAGTCATCCTCTTCGTCCTCGACCACCTGGTAGTTGGCGTCCTCCGACCTACCTTCACACCGACCGAGGTTAGGAGGGGAGGAGGAAGGCTGAAAAGCACCAGCGTCCGAGCGAGCGCTCGGCCCTAGGTCTTCAGACGCTGCCGCTAGCATGCTGCCTGTCCCGGCTTTGCCGGGAAGCAGGCGCCCAGTGCCGGCTGATGAATCAAGCTGGCGCAGTGCCCACTTCACGCTGCTGTAGGTCAGGTCTCCGCGAGTGAGCGCGCGCAAGTTCTGCGCGCCCTGCTGAGTGAGATTGGCCCCTTCCTCTAGGAAGAGACCCTTGAGCTTGTCGGACATCCACAAGTCGTGGCCCTCCGCGTCGATGAACTCTGCTTCACGACGACTCACGTACTGGGTGAGCGTCTCCTTGGAGTCGCGGACGGCCTCGTATAATGCTTTTCGTCCTGCCCGTCGTAGCTCGTCTCCTTCGCGCTCCCCGATCATCAGGTCCATGCGACTGAGGAGCGTCTGCAACCATGACGATGCGGTGAGCTCCTTGTCCGGGATGTCCTCGAATTTGGCCTGCATCGTCCAGTCGAAGAGCCGCATGAACTTCTCCGACCTCCTCCAGACCGCTACGTCGGTGTTGTCGTTCCAGCGCCGAATGGCTCGGCGCCATTGTCTATAGTGGGCCCAGCCGGGCCACGCTGGAGGGTCCGAAAAGTCACCTCGGCCCCCGGTCCATTGGCCTGGCCACCAGTTGCTGTTCCAGCTCGAGCCCCAGTCCTGGTGCTCGTCCCACTTCTGGTCCTCCTTCACGTCGTCCTCGTCGCCGGGCGGGCGCCGCTGTCCTGAATCTCCTGCTGCTTCTCCGCTGCCCACCTCGGCGGCTTGTCTGGTTCTGCTGCTGCTCCACGGGTCGGCCCCCGTGCCGTCCCATGGGTCGGCCACCGTCGGTACTGTCTCTGGCGGTGGCCGCTGCTGCTGTTGGCCAAAATGGCCGAGCGCCCGCACGGTCTCCTGGACCGCGGACTGTATTGCCCGAGTGAGCGTCTCCTGATCAATCGTCGTCGCCGCCACGACCGTAGAGCCTGATGCTGCTGCTCCCGCCGTCGACCCCTCAGCTCCTCGGGCTGCCATGACGGCGAAGGTCTCCTCTCGTCCATCGCCTCCTGGGGCGATTGGCGGCGGCTGCTGCTCACCATCTGCGGGCATCTCTCTGCCGTGGATCCCACGCTGCTCAGTGGCCAGAGCGAAGCCTGGCTCCGGGGCGCGCAAGCGCAGAGCGGCCTGGCCGTCACAGCCAGCCTCTCGCGCCCATGGCCTCCGGGCCGGACCCCGCTCCGCTACCAACTGTGGCAGCAGGAGAGGGGACATAATGTTTTCCCTTGAGCCAAATGTGGCACGGACACGTACAGGATGGATCTCTGTCCATCGGTCCCCAGAGTGAAACACCAAAAGCTAAACCTATACGTGAGATTATGGACCCCTGGAACAACCCCCATCGGACCTCCTTCGGCGCTGCCCTGGGGGAGCACGGATGGCTGCACCGGCGGCGTTTCCTGCAACGCGTTTGTCTCGTCGTGTCCTTTACCGCAAGACGAAGGTACGCCGAAGTTATGTTGATCCCATCGTACTTCAGGACCGCATCCCAAAAATAATTTCGAGCACCAAGAAAAATACCGAAACAGTGCCGAACGAGTATCGCCTCCCGAGACCGACACGCGAAAACCCTCCAGTTTCGATACTTTCTTGGTGCTCGAAATTCTTTCTGGTGGTCAAGGCTAAGCTAGGGTGGAACATTATAAGGCTGAAGACGTTTCTGGGGCATGTAGGCATCTTTCTAACTTCCTGCGATCGAAGTGTGCCGTTCACCGCGGCTGTAAAATGTGGTCCCCCACGTGGTCCACGCCCTGGCAGGGCAGTCGCACGCACGCTGAGGCCTCTCCCTCGCGGTGGCAGGGGGCTGAACAAGCGCCCGTCCCTGCTGCCCTGGTGGCGCCCACCTCCGTGCCAGGGCCGAGAAGGAAAGTTATCGTGTTGGGAGGAAGGGGCTGGGAAGACACAGGGTGCGAATTTGAGATAACAAGCCGTCAACGGACTCGACAGCATGGATGATCAGGTCCTCTCTCCCAACCCCTTCCTCCCAACCCGACAACCCGCCACCGCTCGGACGTCCGGCCTCGGGCGTGCACTCTCGCGCACGACGGCCCGAGAGGCTCCTCGATGGCACGTCCGAGCGTAATGGGAGCGACACGATTTAAGAAGAAGCTTCGCGGGGGCGGCGGGTAGGACACGAGTAGACCACGTGCTCGCGGCGACGCTCGTGGGCGCTCGGAGCCCGCGCGCCGCCGCTCGGCTTCCTGAAGAGCGCCGGCGCCTCCCCTCGGCCGGGGCCCGGCGGCGCAGAAGGCGTGGAGGCGGCGCGCCGGACATCGCTTTCTGTGCACTCGGCGGCGCCAGCGAGCGCAGGCGCGACGAGGGCTGCCGGCGGAGGGCGCCGGGCGCGGGGCGCGCGAGGGGCACGACAAAGGGGCCCAGGGGACACACAAAGAAGTATAGGCACAGATCCCAGGATGCCCCATACATGCCCATGTCTTCTGTGTGTACGTCTTCCCCCCCCCCACGGCCCGTATGTGCCCCTCTTTTCCTGGGAGTCGAAGATGAATTGTGTGTGTGCTTTTCCACTCCCGAGAAACGGCCAGGCGAGGACGAGTGACCCTCGCCACGCGACGGACGCGGAGGCCGCCGGCCCTCCCGCCCTCCGAGAAGCCGCCTGCGGCCTCGGAGAGGGCTCACGAGGCCTCTTAGAAGGCGGGACGGCTGATGCACGCAATCCTGGCTCTTGTGTGCTGACTCTTGTGAACCCCCCCGCCAGGCCCCCCACTAAAGATATCGGCGGGCCGCGCCGCGGTGTGTGTCCGTCTGTTGTCTGCCCGAGTGCCTGCGACCCGCTGGCGATGCCAACCAACTCTGCATCGGGGGCACAAGGGGCGCCTTGAAATTTGCGCTCCGGTCGCGCGTGGTGCAAAATTCTGTCCATCCACAGGAGGGCCTCCGAGAAGCCCCGCCGCTGAGAGGACGGGCCCCTTCTGCCCTCACTCTGGGGCGCCGCCGACTCCCGCCCTCAGGCACCTCCTCCTCCTCCTCCTCCTCCTCCTCCTACTCCTCCTCCTCCTCCTCCTCCTGCTCCTCCTCGGCCTCCTCCGCCTCCTCCTCCTCCTCCCCTCCTCCTCCTCTCCTCCTCCTCCCCTCCCCTTCCCCCTTCCCCCTCCTCCTCTCCCCCTCCCCCTCCTCCTCCTGCTCCTGCTCCTCGTCCCGCAGGCACGTCTTGCTGCAGGAACGAAGACAGGCGGCACCACCACCACCACCAGCGAGAGGAGCCAAGGGGGGGTCCTCCGAGGTGGCGCGGTGTCCCCCCCCCTCCCCGCTCGGGGCATCTCCAGCCTCGAGCTCGGGGGAGCATCGCAGACCTCCTCGCTGGAGGTGCCCCGCCGAGTAGTGGTGGTGGTGGTGGTGGTGGTGGTGGTGGTGGTGGTGGTGGTGGTGGTGGTGGTGGTGGTGGTGGTGGTGGTGGTGGTGGTGGTGGTGGTGGTGGTGGTGGTGGTGGTGGTGGTGGTGGTGGTGGTGTGGTGGTGGTGGTGGTGTCGCTGCTCCTTCCTGCGGCGCTGCGCGCACGAGCCATGCGCGCGCGAGCAAGGCGCAGGTCACCAGGGAGAGCGCGCCCAGCCGCCCCCGAGGTGTCCTGCTGGGGTGACCAGGGGCCTACCCCCCCACGCGAAATCTCTTCGGAGCGGATGCTGGTGGAAGAGCGGTGGGTTGTTAGGAGGCAACTCCTGGGAGGTCTTCTTGGGACTCAGGGCCTTGGGCTATGAGGCCCGAGAAGGGGTCACTGAGACACATGCGGCCAGATTAAACAAAGGAGCATGCCCGACTCGGCCAACATATCCAGGATTAGGCGAGATTCAACAGGATTCGGCCAGATGAGGCTGGTTTTCGACCACGGATACATAAGCGCCGATATGCTGAATGTAACCTCCCAGGAGTTGCATCCGCAAGAAATCGGAGCCTCCGACGTCGTGGGCGTGTTCGCCATGATGGAAATTAGCGCCCACCTATGTTTGCTGCTGTCCGCCACGCCCTACTGCCATAAGCAACGCTGACTTAGGAACGAAACCCCTTTTTATCCGTCCCAAACAGCGCCTGGATCCACGAGGAGCGCTGAAGGAACCACCACGGCATAGCCCGAGGAGCAGCGATCCCCTCCCGAACCCGAAGTGCTCCTTCTTTGAGCGCCTTCGCTGCGCGGCAGCAGAGCAGAAGCGAGGGTCCGCCTCCCCCGCGAGCGGGAGCAGGTGTAGCCGCAACATCGTGTGCCGCACCACCGCAACGCACTTGTCGAACGGCTCCAGGATGTCGTCGCGTGCGTAGACCTCCCTCCGGAAGTCGACTGCTGGCAGAGCCGCCAACCTCGGGTGCACATGAACGGTGGGAAGATGAACGCGGGACGAACGATGAGCTCGCACTCCTCATCGTAACCATCCTCTTCCTCCGTCCTACTAGCAGGAGGCGTGGGTGCCCAGCCCAAGAGCTGGGGGTCGACACCGACGCAGCCACGATAACATCGGCTTCAGTGCTGGGATCAGCGGGTGCGAGTTCAGCTGTGCAAAGATTCGTGGGAAGCCCTCCGAGGCGAGAGCCCCCCCCTTCGATGGGACCTTCTCGGAGTGTCCCCCCCTCCTCGCTGCCACGGCCGGACCTTCGCCGCCAAGGTCGTGAGAGAGGTGGCACGGGAAGCGAGCGTGCCAGGCAGGCTTGCAGTGACTCGGCGCGCTCGTGGACGGCCCGCAGGTGCGGAGGGGAGGTGGAGGAGGAGGAGGAGGAGGAGGAGGAGGAGGAGGAGGAGGAGGAGGAGGAGGAGAGAGAACAGGGGGGACGAGGGAGCACAAGAGGTAGGGAGGAAGGGGGGGGGAACGGGACGGGATAGAAGAGCTGGGGGTGGAGGAGAAGGAGCCTGAGGAGGCGGAGGAGGAGAAGGAGGGGCCAGCTACAGTGCGGGGGCTGCGAGTGCGAGAGGGAAAATCCCCCCGGCATCAGCCATGCGAGAAGGGCTGGTGCACCTGCTCGCCGACCCAGCTCGGGCTCCGCTCACGACAAGCGCCCCAAGCGACGGCGACGAATCGCCCACGAACAGTCCCTCCTGCTGCCCCTCCTCCAGACCCAGCTCCAGAATCCCTCCTCCTCCTCCTCCTCCTCCTCCTCCTCCTCCTCCTCCTCCTCCTCCTCCTCCTCCTCCTCCTCCCCCTCCCCCTCCTCCTCCTCCGTAGCCATTTGGGTTCAAGCCGTTCCTCACGTTTCCATTGCCACTTTCTGGAGATGGCGGCGGCGCCGGCCGGTGAACGTGAGGTTTGAGATGGAGCTGCGGGAGGGCGGGGGCGTTGCCCGCCCAAAGCGCACTGCCGACGAGCGGCGCGCAGCTCGGGAGTGGGCGCGGCGCTCAGCGGACCGCGCCGTGCTGAAGCTCTCGGAGGAGCTCGCGCGCACCAGAGACCACCTGGCGGTGGCGGAGGACGCGCTCGCGGCGTTGGCCAGCTGCGACGAGGTGGGCCAGCGTCTGCCGTCTGCGGGCGCTGCTCCCCGCCTTGCGCACGAAGCTGGTTGGCAGGGCGCCGACCTGGCTGGAGACGCTCCGCAAGAACGTCGCCCTCCACGCGGACGCCGACGGCATGGACGTGGCGACAGCGGGCGAGGCCGCGCTGAAGCGGGCTCAGAAGGGCCCACGGCTGGAGGCGCGGCTTGAGGCGGAGAGGAGCTCGGCGGCGGAGGGCACCAGCTGCAGCCCCGTTCGTACCTTCTTTTTCGCGCCTGGCGCTTGGGACGTCGAGCAGCTGGCGGCTGGTGATCATCGGGTCGCCAGCGCGCAGCCGCAGGAGCAGGAGACCTTCGAGGCGGAGAGCGAGGCTTGCGGCGTCCAGGACGGCCTGACCTTCGACGGCTCGGAGGTGCCGATTGTCGACGGCGGCAGCGGCGTGCCCTGCGAGGGGATCGCGGAGGTCTCTGCGGGCACGAGCGCTGCGGAGCTGGAGGCCTTCCTCCGTGGCGCCAAGGAGCGGATGATTTCGACGGCGCTCGCGATCGCGAAGCGGGGGGCCGAGGTCTGGACGACGGCTCCGCGGCGCGGCGCGGCGAGCTCGCGGCGGCCGCCAACCGCCTCGTCGAGCTCGAGGCGCAGCTCGCCGCGGTCACCGCGGTGCAGGCGCCGATGGCCGTCGGGCGGCCTCCCGCCGAGCACGGCCTCGTCGACGACGAGGGCGGCGACGAGGATGGCCGTGCTGCTGCTGCTGTTGCTGCTGCTGCTGCTGCTGCTGCTGCTGCTGCTGCTGCTGCCGACTGCCGCCCTCCCGGCCCATGGGCTGACAGGTTCTTGGTCGGCAACTTCGCGGCGGAGGGCGGCCCTGCCGTGGGGGCCTCGGTCGCGGCGGCCACGGGCCGAGCGGCGGACGCCCGCGGGACGGGCGGCCGCGGCATGCGGGGAACGGGCGGCCACGACGGCTTCGACGTGGAGCTGGAGGCCGCCGACGGCGGGAGCGGCGGGCCGAAAACCTGGCGGTCCTCAGGCGCTGCGGCCGCCCGCGCCCGCGACCTCGCCCAGCTCTTCGCCTCCTTCGTGGCGGAGATCAGCACGCCGTGGACGCCGCCTTCGACCTGGAGGCGGACCCCATGGGCCCAGGTCGGCGTGGGCAGAGTTTGGGATTTAACCCAGGCTCGGCCTACGCTAAGGGAGGGATCCTGACTGGGTCCCGAGTCGCGCGAATTCGAATGCAAGACCTTGTTAGGTCGAGTCAGTCTCCTCCTCCTCCTCCTCCTCCTCCTCCTCCTCCTCCTCCTCCTCCTCCTCCCTCCTCCTCCTCCTCCTCCTCCTCCTCCTCCTCCTCCTCTCCTCCTCCTCCCCTCCCTCCTCCCTCCTCCCCTCCCTCCCTCCCTCCCTCCCTCCCCTCCCTCCCTCCCTCCCTCCCTCCTCCTCCTCCTCCTCCTCCTCCTCCTCCTCCTCATCCTCCTCCTCTTCCTCCTCCTCGGTTCGGTTCGGTTCGGTCGAATGGCGGAGAGTCGGAGCCAATGATGGTGAGAGAAAGGGCGAGAAGAACGCTGGGTGAAGAATGACAGCAGGCAGCAACAGCAACCGCGGAGGTGGACTGAACTGCCAGGCGCTCTCGGCGCAGCCTGCACCTGCAAGTGCAAGCAGGGGTACTATCACTTAAAGCTGATGGACACTTAAGTAAGGAAAAGGGGAGGATAAATAGAGATGGAAAAGGAGAGCCTTCCCCCACGAAGTGAAACCAGTTACTGCCTGAGGCGAAGCTGGGCGATGACCGCCGAGCATGCTCTATCGTTACTGCCGAGAGGGCGGCGCACCCTGCGGAGCCTGTGGTTGGGCTCGGCATCCCTTCACGTAGAGCCCTTCACTGAAACACAACGCTGCTGGCATAGGGCAAGCAGCTCTGCAACTCAACAAAAAATAACAAATAAAGGAACAAATGAACAAGCACACAGGCAAAGAAAAGAGGAGGGCCGGTGCACGTCACAAGTCGGGACCCGTGGCCGTCCGATGCAACATACAATCCATACTGATGCCCTGGACCAAGTAGGGGTCCCACGGTGCCGAGAACTGCCGTAACCCTGTCGGCACACTCCACCCGTCACAAGAATCGCCGAGGTCCACCAACGCCCTTAACGCTCGTTCGTCGTTGAGGGTCCACGCGAGTGGTGGCCTGACAGCAGCAGGGGACAAGGGAGGAGGGTGTCCAGGGCCCAGGCACAGTTCGGGGAACCTAGAGCGGGTCTCCTCAAGGAAGCTGGCAGCCAAAAACAGGCACAGGCGACTCGGGTAGGTCTTGAGGTGAGCAGTGCGCCAGAGTCCATCATTGCCTACCCCCCAGAACCCCCTTATGTGGCCTCGCGTGAATGCACCTACCACGGCCTTGCTTGGCCTCCAGGATGGCCCCCATAGCTGGAACGTGAACCGCGAGGAGCGTAGTGGGTTTCAGCCCCTGGCCCCCGAACATGCACTGATGAATGTGGTGAGCCTTAACCCCAGGGAGCCCCTCGAGCCTGCGAAGTTGGGGAAGCAACCAGGAGCTGGGAGCCTCAGGGACGCGGGTGTTAAGGGAGGGGTGCTCCATCAGAGCAGGGATCCCGAACGTCCAGGCCTCGTAGAGGAAACGAATGGTGGTGCGTAGGAGAATGTTTCCTAGTCGCACCTGCTCGCGCTCTCTGGTATTGAGGTGGCCTAGTCCCCATGAATGCTGGGCAGAACGCAGGGGGCGGGGTGGCCTCCTCCCCCCTGGGGCGTCCTCGGGAACGGGCAGGTGACGAGCCGAGGACCATGTCTCGCACGGCGGGCCAGCGATAATTCCAGCGACACGCCCAGAGCGCAACATTAAGGACCACAAACGTATGGTGGCAGGAGCAGTGAGATCGCCGTGCGTTGCATGGTTGGCAACGTCAATACTAAGCGCAGTAACGTTAGTGGGGAGGTCCTTTATCATAGCTTCTAAATGCCACTGGAAATCTCGCTCACGCCTGAATCCTGAGAACAGGTGAAGGACATACTTGACTGGCCGAATGGGCAGGGGCCTTGGGGAGAAAGCGGAGGGGTCAGGAGGCGGAGGGGGAGGGAGGACCTGTAGAACTGGGGCCTCAAGCTTGGCCTGCTTGCGCGAAACAACGATGCGAAGTCCAACTGGTGGCCCCTCGAGCTGGACGGGGGGGGATGGCGCAAAGTTGGCCGGCCTCCCCTTCGATCGGTTGTCGGCTGCTACTCGGCGAGCTTCTTCACGTGCCTGGGCCAGCTCGCCTTGGTGAGCTGGACCTGCTGCGTAGCCTGACCTGCTCCAAGAAACGCGACATGTGGGGGCATTACGAAGATGCTGAGTGAGTCTTGCTACATCACTGAACTGTTTCAGGCAAATTTGGCAAACAGATCCTACTGCGATGGCCGTCGGGGCCTCGGGCGTTTTGTGAAATTTCCCCATGTGTGCCAAAAGGGCCTGCTCACTAGCTGCGGTATGAGTACAGTGGGGGCACTTAAGGAGTGGGACCGACGGGGGCGCGTCACAAAGGGGGGTTCCCTGAGCGGCAATTCGGAGCTCTCTCTCATATAACTCTGCGCATGTCGTCCTGAACATGTGGCTTAGCATGACAAATGGCTGAACAAATGAGGGAGCGGTAGGCGCGGGGATTATCCAGAGCAAATCGGATCAGTCCAGGAGATGTGGTGTCGGTAGGACGGCGGGCTGGGTCAGTGTGGAACAAAAGCCAAGCATAATCCGCCTGTAGCTGGTGCGCCCATCCTCGGGGATCATCCCATGTTATATCTACTAAAACCCTAATGAGTGGGGGGGGCATGGGTGAGCATGCGTGCAAGATAACGGAGCCTCGCAATGGTCATGACAATGGTTTGCGGAAATCTCTGAGTATCAAACAGGACCTGAGCAGAAAGAGCATGATCATTGGCATTGTTGGTGCTTGAAAGATTCAACGCTGCTCGGTATACCGCCATGTGCGCCGTGCACATATGTCTAGCTTGGGCAGCAGTGATGGTAGGCCAAATGGCCACTGCATAATGCAGGACCGACGAAGACAAAGCCTCAGAATAAAGCACTTTAGAACGCAGTGAGAGGCCCTCTCTCGGGCAAATGGTGGCCTTGATGGGCCTGAGGGCGGCGCGGGCCTTGGCGCAGCGGGCGGTGACTTCAGGAGCCATGCTGCCAGATGCGGCGATTTGAACACCCAGGACCTTGTGAACCTGGACGATAGGGAAAGCAAAACCCCAGCGCACTGACTCGACCTCCGCGACCCCAAAAGGGAAACCAGGGACCCCGCGGGACCCCACGCCACGCAGAAACACAAGTAACTTGGACTTGGCGGCATTGGGGCGAAGCCCTAAAGATAAACAGGACACGTACACTGCCTCAGCGAGGGCCAACGCCACTGTGGGCATGTCCTTTGCCCTTTTTACAAACAGAGTGACTGTGAGGTCATCAACGAAAGAGAGATCGGGCTGAGCATTGTCCCAATCGCTTTGAGACGAGCAGAATGGTTCAGGCTGGTCAAAGACGCCCCTCACTGAGGCCGACAGCTCACCAATGGCCTCACGGATTTTTAGTAGGACGGACCTGAAAACCAGATTGAAAAAATCGGTAGCTAAGATAGTCCCCGGCCTGGTGCCCCCCCCAGGGAGGACATAACCTTGGGCGTTGCGAACTTGCCAGAACGTGCCTCTCTGGGACTCCTGGATGAGTGCCAACAGGTGAGCGGACGGGACATGTGCTTCCAATGGCTTGCTGGCTGCCAGCATGACCTTGGCACCCTCTAGTAGGATGGGGGGAAGCTGAACCTGCCTTCAGGCGTCCTCCAACTTTTCTTCCTCGCCCGGCAGTGACAACGCAAACTGTTTGATGACGCTATAAAAGGCGTCAACCAAGTCCAGGGAGAGGATAAGGGTCGAAAACTTGCGCTCGTGCGCGGCAATGCTTGCTAAATGCAGGCCGTGCACGGCCATCTCTGGGCCTTTGTGAGCAACCCCCCCGCACTGCTCATCAAGCAAGCACATGGCAAAGAAGTCGAGGGCAAGAGACCGTATATGGCGGTGATATAGTTTGCAAATAGTGCTCGCCATAATAATATTGCGCTGAGCCTTGGCAACCTGTGGGGGCCCCGAGCCTTTGTAGAAGAAGGTGACCCCCCCATCTGAAAAACTATAGGTCCCCTAGCAGCAAGGGCAATCTTGGCCAGCAGTGGGCACAGGGCGGAGGCGAGAGCACGGGGAGCAGCACGGAGCAAATCAGCAGGAACCTCATCAGGGCCAGGGGACTTGCCTACCCTGATGTGCCGTATGACGTACTCTATGTCCACCACTGAAGGGAGAACCCTAGGCTCTCGGTCATCCTCCACACGCAAGAGAGCTGGTAACCTGTTGATGTCTTGGACCACCTCTGCGAGGGTGGCAGCACGACCCAGCTCCACGGCCTGAAAATGGGCTTGCATGTGCTGAGCGACATCGGCCTGAGACGTCAGTAAACGATCAGGCGCAACTGAGCCCGTACGCTGGGCTTCTGCAATCTCTCCCTGGGTAGGGGGGGCTACCATCATAGGTAGTGCGTCCTGAACGCGCGAAGCCCCCTTCTTTCTCCCCCCAGCTGCGAGCAAAGTATTGGCATGGTTCCATTGGGCTTTGGGCATGCGGGCGCCGGCAGACATATTTATTTGTTCGGCCGCTTTCTCAAGAAACCAAGTCCTGTCGTCGTGTAGAATCTTGGATAAGGTCGCCTTGCTTCTTAGTAAGAAGCTCATAACTGCGTCGGCAAAGGCATGTGGTGCAATGAGAAAACGACGAAGCTGCTTGGCTGCAAACACAAGCTCCATCCGCCCATCCGCTCCAGTGCCTCTGCTCGTGGACGGTCTTTAGCTTGTCGCAGGCCGTGTCGCGCATCGTCTTGAGCTTGCCGAGTTGGACGCTGGCTTTGTCCGTACTCTGGGCCATGAGCTTCACGCAGGATATCTCCGCCACTAGAGAGTCGATGCCTTTGCCCGCGTCCCTGGCGACCAGTGCGAGCTGCCCGAGCGCATCCATTTTCTTGTAGATGCGGCTCTTGTAATCCTTGATCTGGGTTGGGTCGGTCGGCGGCTCCTCCCATACGGTGGCCCAAGGCTGCTGGATGGGGTTGCCCATCTGTGCACGCGTGATGGGTACGATGCGCGCCAGGAAGGTGCGGAGGGCCTTGGACCTCTGGG